TAGCTCTCACCACCTACCTGAGCTACGCCATCCTCTTCGCTTTCGGCTACATGAGGGACTTCTTCAGGAAAATCCTAGATTTTCCCAAGTCCATGAACGTCGGGGTAAATTAATATTTGGTTTTTTTTATATCGGTATTTTAAACTGATCTTTTTTATTGGGCAAACTGATGAAAAGAACACAGCTATATATCTCATTTAGTTTTTTATGTATGTTAATTAAGTAGCGAATCATAAATGTTACATGGCATTTGAAACCTTGCGCGCGTTATTACTATATGGCGTACTGAATATATATTATTTCAATATATATAGCATACATTATTTCAAACATAACTTATGTTAACGGAAACATGTAATTATTTTATCCTATATTGCATTTTTGAAGGCTAGAAATAGTTCAATGTTTACCTCTGGACTGTTTGTTAATTCTTTGTTTTTTGATAGCCATTTTCAGACTGTTTGTTAGCTAACTGACGGACTTTTACAGTGTTGTTACTGATATTTGGTGGCATATTGTCACGGCCGTACCTAAAAATTTTGGGGCCCAAGACGAAATATTAGATGAGGCCTAAGTGATACAACTCATAATAGATTTTATCTCATTCTTCTTATCTTTTGAGCTGCAAAATTACTAATTAAAGTCTTATATTTAATATTTTCTAACATATTATTTTTAATAGATAATATTGCTAAACCATTCAATCTATCTTGTAACATGAACGATGTTAAATAAGATTTTAGTAATTTTAATGTTGAAAAACTTCTTTCAGCGGAAGCAACTGTTACGAGTATAGTCAATAATACACGATAAGCAATACAAGTATTTGGAAAAGAATCTAACCACTTTATAAAGTTCAACACTTCAATTAGACTATTAATCTCTACTTTTAAAATTTCCCTAAGCACTGTAAATTCTGAAAACAAATTAAGTCCACTAATATCTAAATGTTCATCATGTTTTAGTGCATTTTCGAGATTAAGACAATATTCTTTCAATTCAATATCATCTAAAGCTTTTAATTTTTTCAAATCAAACAAAAAACCAAAAAATTTCATACGTTTTAAATTGTTCAAACCTACTTTTAATTGAGCCCAGCGATTTATCAACTATATATAAGAAATATTCAATACAAAAAGATTCTTCAGCGTTCAATATTGTTTCATTACTAATATTTTCATCAAATTAATTTTTTCTATGAATTTTACGTTTTTCACGAAATATAGATTGTACATTCATTTCAATAGCAAGTTCTTTAGTTGAATTCAAAACAGACATAATTTTGTCTATAATTTTCTAAATATACAATAAGATCCTTTAATTAATCTATGACAATATCAATATGCATATATTTAAATCGTAAGATTTTACTAACTGAATTAACAGCAAACAATATGTCATACCAAATATTTATAGCTAATAAGAATTCAAAATTTTCAATCTCATAAGTTACTAAGCAATTAGCTTCACTTTTTATCTTTGGATCTTCACTAATTTTTGCTAATTGAATCAAAGCATCTCTTATATTTGGAGCTTGAAATTTTATTGCTTTAACATTTTTAGTCCGACCTTCCCATCTAGTTTGACATAAGATATGGAACTTGTTTGCGTCGAAAGTTGCTATTTTCATTGCTATCGAATCTATTACAACTTTAGTCGTTACAATAAACTCGAATAAAATAAAAAGTTGATCTTTGTATAAGATCTCCTTACACAATAAAAATAAAAAAAAAGAATTTACAACTTTATCAAACAAACGCAGAGATCGTCTATCGGTCTTCTGCTTGCATGGGATCTTTGCCTGTGCCGGGGTTTATCCGTGGACCGCCTTTGATCTGGATCCGGTTGATGAAAAATTCGGCAGAGCTTCGTCTTCACCGAGGAAGTATTTGATTTGAAGCGCTGAGATCGACCAAGCGAAATCAGGGCTCTTCTCGAGATTAAGACCAAGCCTAATCTCAAGGGACGGACGGGAATGGGTATCGGATCTCTCGAACTCTCCTTCTTTATGCCCAAGAACTCGCCAAGATCTGTCAACCCTCGCTGAAATTCGTGCTCCTTTGACTCCACAATCCGGCATCACCTCCTCGTCTTGATAATCGATCGCCAGTTTGTTTGCGTCGAAAGTTGCTATTTTCATTGCTATCGAATCTATTACAACTTTAGTCGTTACAATAAACTCGAATAAAATAAAAAGTTGATCTTTGTATAAGATCTCCTTACACAATGAAAATAAAAAAAAGAATTTACAACTTTATCAAACAAACGCAGAGATCGTTTATCGGTCTTCTGCTTGCGTGGGATCTTTGCCTGTGCCGGGGTTTATCCGTGGACCGCCTTAGATCTGGATCCGGTTGATGAAAAATTCGACAGAGCTTCGTCTTCACCGAGGAAGTATTTGATTTAAAGCGCTGAGATCGACCAAGCGAAATCAGGGCTCTTCTCGAGATTAAGACCAAGCCTAATCTCAAGGGACGGACGGGAACGGGCGTCGGATCTCTCGAACTCTCCTTCTTTATGCCGAAGAACTCGCCAAGATCTGTCAACCCTCGCTGAAATTCGTGCTCCTTTGACGGAAAATTCCGACCCGCGGTTACTGTAGCGCGGGTCAGTTTGAGATATCTGTGATATTTTGGTCATAACTCTTTCGTACGACCTCTGATTAGGCTGATTCAAGATGCGTTGGAAAGCTAACGAAGAGATCTACAACTTTTAGGTTTTGAGATTTTTCAGATTCAAATCGCAGCATAGTCAAAACTTCACTTCTTTGTGCGGTCAGATCACTATAGCGCGTTCCGACCCGCGGTTACTGTAGCAGCCAATCCGACCCGCGGTACTGTAGCAGCTAATCTGACCCCGCGGTACTGTAGCAACCGCCCGACCCGCGCACTGTAGCAACCGTCCGACCCGCGGTTACTGTAACAGCCTTAACTCACTCATCCGACCTCGGAATGAGGTGATTCAAGATGCGTTGGAAAGCCAACGAGGAGATCTACAGGCTCCCATAATTGAATCATATTTGGAATAAATGGGACACGAGGGGTGCTCCGCCTTTTGTAAATGACGTGGGGTTCCCGATCAGCTCTCGTTTCCGTTATTCCGAAGTTCCGTTGCTTCGTATGATCCGTCGACTCACTTCATGTATTTGTCGTTGTCAAACGAGCTCCTGTGACTCTAATAGCGACATTTATCATCTTCTCTCTGTCTCGAGCTGTGTGCGGACACCCATAGGCATTTTTAGACGCCTACAGATACCCCCTCGAAAGTATTTCAGACTCATTCTTTTATAAAGGAGTATGGAATGCTTTGGATAAGATAGGTCATCTCCGCAATTTCGTAGAGTGACCTTGAACTATCTCAATCCTTAATTTCTTCAGCCTTCAATCTATTCATTGTTTCATCGAATAGATAAAGTTCTTCCGGCGTTGCGTTTATCGTCTGACCGTTATCAAAATCTTAAACTGAGATTGGTGTGTAAGTTTCTGAACTTAGATCGTGCCATTGAGTTGACTTTGAACTGATCATCTTCGTCAGAAATTCATATCTGAATCTGATTGAACTCCCTGAAATCATTGTTTTCCTTAATTTGGCAAGATTGCTGATGCATTGACTGGCATCGATCTTTACTGTAACGCGTTGTATGGCGTTGACTTTTGTTAAAGTCTACACAGTTTAAGCTCTTAAGGTATTGGAGCGTGGCGGTCCCAAATGTTGGGCTGCAGGACCAACTATTAAAGCTGATTCATCTGCATGTATGGATCTTATCCCGAAGTCGTTGGATGCTCAATTCTCGAAATTTCTGATTGAACTCCCTGAAATCATTGTTTTCCTTAATTTGGCAAGATTGTTGATGCGTTGACTGGCATCGATCTTTACTGGCATCGATCTTAAGGTATTGGAGCGTGACGGTCCCAAATGTTGGGCTGCAGGACCAACTATTAAAGCTGATTCATCTGCATGTATGGATCTTATCCCGAAGTCGTTGGATGCTCAATTCTCGAAATTAACTAATGAAGCTGATACGTCAATGACTCACGTTTATAGAATTTTTGGCAAATTCTCAGCCATCAACGGGTTTGATAAGCCTTTACCGACTACCGTTTGAGTCGGGCTAGCATGCAGATTGTTTAGACCCGTTCTGCACGTAACGTTGTGCTAAAAGAGTTAACTCTTTTAGTGCTACGATATTGAATACGTAGACTTCGTCTTTCTCCTGTGAAAAGACTAAACAACGACGTGTATCAGACGTTGACTTAGGATTTTTGGCAAATTACTTAGGGTTCGGAATAAAATTCCCCGCGCGTGTGAGGCGCGGATTTTGGCGTTATTAGTAACGGCCTGCCACAATGTCGAATATGTGGGCTTTTGTTCTTTTTACGGTTAAGAGCTAACCGGCAACGCGTGTTAGGCGTTGACTTATCCCTGCTCAGGATTCGGGATAAAATTCCCCATGCATAAAAGGCATGGATTTTTGTTGCTACGATGCTGAATACGTAGACTCGGTCGTTTTTACGGGAACGAACCACCCAGCAACGCGGGTTAAGCGTTGACTTATCCCTACTTAGGCTTCGGGATAAAATGCCCCAGACTGGATTCTGGTGTCTTTTTCAATCGGTGAAAGACTAAACCGGCAACGCGTGTTAGGCGTTGACTTATCCCTACTCAGGATTCGGGATAAAATCCCCCGTGCGTGTGAGGCACGGATTTTAGAAGTTTGAAAAAGCGGAGTCTTCTCTTGGGGCAAAGACGAACCCGATGCGGGAGAGGAAGAATTTTACATTCTATCTCCCAAAGCTGAAGAGGAAGAATTTTATATTCTATCTCCAGTTACAATTGAAAACTCAAAGTGGGATCTCCACTTCAAGAATCCGAGAAGGTGAAACTAAGAGTGGGATCTCCACTTCGAGAATCAAAAAGATTCGGATAATCCTAATTGTCGGAAGGTTTGATTATCGAACTAAAGATGAATTTCTCATTTATCGAGAGTGAATTCTGGTTTTGATCCTTACTGTAGGAAGGTTTGACCAAGCGGGAGTTTGAGGTGACCCTAACTGTAAGAAGGTTTGATCACTCGATTTGAAAGTGGACCTCTCGTTCATTGGAG